CATCTCAAAAGGGATGCATTGAGATGCGGAGGGGTTGGGTCCGGCCGAAGCGAATGGCTAGAAAGGGAAACAGGCGAGGAGGTTCAGACATGCTTCGATTGTTCGATAGCCGTTGAATGCCGGAAAACATAACGCTGTGCCGTGTCTTGAAGGAAAATAAGACTTTCATTCGCGCATAATATATCGCCGAGGCAGGAAAGCTGGCAGCCAAGCCGGGCGTAGGGACCGAAAGGGTCAATAACCTCATCTTTCAGTAACCGCAGGCCAATAAAACATGTCGCCGGCTATTGCACGGCTACCGAGAGAGCGGGAAGCATGCATAATTGTTGTCTTGGATCACAGATTTGTAGCTGTGAAATGGCGGTAATACGAGAATGTGGTGGTGTTGCTCGTCTGATGAGAATGGAAGTGGTTTACGGGAGACTCGGATATGGATTCTCGGTCTAGAGAGAAGCGAGATCGAGATCCGGCAGTGCTGAGAAGTACTTTGATGGCTGTCTTGCGCCTGTAGTATTCAGAACATCCAGAGCCATCTCTTCCACTGTCCAGCTGGTCCTCGCGTCATCTTCAAAACATCAAAAAATGTTCATGATCCAAGAGGAGAACTGACGCCTCGATAAGTTCGTTTACTTCTATTCCATCCTTTCTTTATCACTAATCAAAATTTACAAGTGTAGTCTTTAGGCAAAGGCCATTTTCAGACTCGAAATACCTTCATTCGGATCGCTGTCTCCAATCGGAACCAAAATATAGCGTCTCTGTCTGCGTTACCTCCTCTATTTCGAAGCTTGGATCTATCGAGCGATTTTCTTCGTTTATGATACTTGGTGAACAATGTCTGGCAATTTAAGATCCTCGTGTGCCAGTTGACCCGATTGTACGTCGTGGCTGCACGGAGGTATTCTGTGGTCAATCCCAAAGTCCTTAGTACTGGTACGATTCTACAACAGCCCCATTCAAGGAATCGAGGACAATGCTCTCCAATCTCTGGCGCGGTCCATTGGTCTCTTGGAGAAGTCTTCGCTCACATCTCTTGGTTTCTATGTGAGGAGGTGAAGCGTTCGAACGATTGGGGATGCTGCGATTTTCCGTTCAGTTCCACTTCTTCTATCAAAGCGGGTTATCACGAGGCATTGCAAACCCTTCTACAGCACTGCTATCTTCTTATCGCCGGATGGAGATACTCCTCGTGGAGCCGCGTCGTCATGATGAAGCAAACTCTCGAGTCCGTGTACCAGAGCCAGACCTCTCTTTCCGGTCTTAGCCTCGGGTTGTCGTTCTTGGGTGCTCCATGGGGAATCTCTTGTGGACGTCGTCATGGCCTAACTTTCTCCATCATGATAGAAAGAGCAACCGGCAAGATTCAATTTGTCTTTTCGTCACTATTGTTGAAACCCAGTCGATTTTGGCTTTGTATCGCCACAGATGGAATACCGTAAGCGGTGTCTATTTCCCGCAGATAGTCAAGCATCGGCGAAGACGCCACGAAAGCTTGTCAACCAATACTGAGATGTCTTGTTTGAACCTCACGATTTATCCATATTCTCATTCACTGTCTGTTTTCTTCGCTGATGTACCCTTCAAAGTTGAAAATACAAGTGACGTTGGCTGCAGCTTGGATTGGAAGGGGTTAACAAGGACTTGGCAGAAAGTACCAGCATATCCAGGACTCCGTCCGCACCATGGAGGGTAAGACTTTGCCTCACTTCATGGCCTTTAGGTCACTTTGGCTAAGGTTTGCAATCAGCTCTCATCCTTGACTGGGTCAGCAGCTGACAGCAGGGGCCGCGGCTCTAAGCTCGCACCTTCACAGCACTCGAGTAGCACAAATGACCTCACCCACCAAGGAACATCATTCACATGATCTAACCTTCCTCGGACTACCATCTGAATTAGGAGCGAACTCATAGAAATCGCATCACATCTGACTGGCTCGCCGCAAAAAGTGGGCTTGATGTTCTTACAAGACTGATTGGCTGATGTGAGATGTGGCAGTGGGATGGTCGATGTCTCTCAGCCTCACCTCATGACTGTCCTGATATCCTGGACTCAACTGGGAAAAGGATGAATGATAGAGAATGGTTTGAGGATAGTAATATTATATTTGCGATGCGGCCAATTGTATTGGCTATGTCGGAAGAGTCTCTCAGCCCTGTAAGGTACAGTACTTGGCTGGTACCTGATGGCGCAGGCAAAGCTGGGAAGCTGTTCAACTGAAGGCCTCATATATAAAGCCTCTTCCTCCATGGGAGACATTTCAACCCAACATACATAGCACTCATCTGCTCATTCATTCAAGCTCTTTTCCAAAAGAAGCGATCATCACCATCCGAATTCCCTCATCTCCCGCCACGAACAACACAAAAATGTCCAATTTCAATCTCACAGGAACGGCAATAATAATCGGCTCAGGTACTTTCCTTCCCACCCCCCACCCCAGGACCATCAAAAACCACCCTTCCTAACCATATGTATTCAAGCCAGTGGAATGGGCAGAGCAACCGCCCTAGCATTCGCTCGTGCCGGAGTCCAAGGCCTAGCATTAGGAGATCTGAACGAACCCGGCGTGCAAGCAACAGCAAAACAAGCCAAACAAGTCGCTACGAATCCCGAATTCTCCATCACTGCGTCGCATGTGGATGTGCGGAGCTGGGGGAGCGTGGATGGTTTCTTCATGGCTGCTTTGGAGAGGTTTGGGAGGGTTGATTATAGTGTTACAACGGCGGGGGTGAGAATATCCTCCCCTCCTTTCCTCTCCGTTCCACGTTGAGTAACTTAACTAACTTTTATATAGATATATTCCCAGAATGGTCTCATCGCAGATAATGACCTTGAAGCATACGACAATATCCAGAACACCAACGCGAGGGGTGTCTTGTACCACACGAAAGCCGCTCTGCAAGTGATGCTCAAACAAGACCCCGTCGTCGTCCAGGGAACGAATAGATCTCGCACGCTTGGACGGGGATCTATCGTAAATGTCTGTTCGACTGCTGGGATCCTCCCACCCCCTGGATCGGTCGAGTACAATGCGTCGAAATTCGCTGCGATTGGTATTACGAAGAGTGCTGGTACGTCTCAGTCAAACCCTCTCACACCCACCCCCCTCCCACTCCGTATTGGAACTATGGGAAGAATCTTACTGAACTGACTTCCGTTCTCTCGCAGCAAATGAATACGGAACCTCAATGATCCGTATCAACGCCATATGTCCCGGGCCCATCGACACGCCTCTTCTCGAGCGAGCGGTGTCTCTCAACCCGCTGTTCAGAAATGCGGCTACGGATAGTACGGCTTTCAGGCGCTTGGGGGATGTGGATGAGGTTGCGGATGCGATCTTGTTCTTGGTTAGTCCGGCGGGGAGTTATGTGCATGGGGCGTCGATGGTTGTTGATGGGGGGTATTTGAATATGGCGTGAGTTTTGTGTTGTGTATTGATGGTGGGTTGGCTGTTGTGGATTGTGGATTGTTGTTTTGGGGTTTATGGTATGAGTATTGGTATTGGTTTTTATTTTGATGGGTCTGTGAAGAGTGGCTTGCTTTGATAAATCCCAACGTGGGATACTCTAGGGAAATGTATCGAGAATCCAGAGCATGGGTGGACACTTGAGCTGGTGCATCCGGAGCGGGCCACTAAATATAAATCTGAAGCGAGAGTGTCTGTCTGGTTGTCAAAGTAGCGTTGGGGAAGCTGTGAACAAGGTTTAATGAATGGCAATGAACACTGCATGAGGATTTCTATGAATTTACAAGAAAAACCATGGAGAGTTTCAAGATGTGCAGCAACTAATGGTCGGTTCAGGTTTCTGACTCTGGTAGTGGATGATAAGCTTCGAGATGGGACCTTATCAAACCAAACAATTCGCTTTGAGGACACTTGAGAGTCCGGTTGCTGGGATATATAAGATAAGTCAGAGGTCGAGAAGCCCCAATAGAATCATTCCCTTAGAAAGGAGTTCAGATCGATCTTCAGTGGCACGATCTATGGCTCGAAGCTGAAAGTCAACCTCCTTGGCGCCGCTCCAGTGGCTGACATCCCACCATTCAAGACATCCATCTTGCGGCAAGGCTGTCTTCCTAACAATGCAAAGGGTGTGAACTCTCGCAGCCATCTCGGAAGTTGCCATGTGATATTTGAACAGAACAGTCGCCCCTCATTCAATGATTTCCACGACCATTTCCAATCGTACTTAACCAGCGTGCGAAGATGCACCCACACCTTCGACTCAACCCCGCGTTTCAGCTCGCTTGCTGCTGCTTGCTTCTGGTAGAAGTGTCTTTACAACAAGCCAGTATTCCTTGGAATCAAATCGGTGACCCAGATCCGAATGAACCACCGGTTGCAGGTGGCGTTGATGGTGGTGGGGATATAACTCCTAACGTCACGTCTCGAATCACGGTCTCCTCGTCGCTCATCACATCACTTCAAGTTTCCTCATCAACGAGCGCAACCTCAACAATTCCAACACCTACACAGAATCCGCCGGTTTTAAATGATAGTGGAATGAGTACAGGCACAAAAGCAGGAATGGAGTCGGTGCTGGTCTAGGAGCTATCGCTATTCTGGGCATTCTTGGATTCGCAATTCGGTACAGACGGATATATGCAGTGCGAAAAGAAAGGGGTGGGAGAGAGAGGTTTGAGAAGGCGGAGTTGGATGGGAATGGCAAATATCCAATCGCGAAGGCAGGTGAAGTTGAGATTGATGGAAAAGTAGTTAAACCAGTAGAACTTGAAGGTCACGAGAGGAGGGCAGAGCTGGAAGGGAGGGGGAAGCAGGAGGATATTCGATCGGAGCTCGCTTGAGCCCAAGAAGCCCCTGAGCTAGGTACGAAGTATGTAAGCGGTGGCCGAGATCGGAAAAGCGGAGTTCGGAAGTATGATCGAGCGCACAACGAAACGGAGCAAAAAAAAGAACTATCTGTGATATAAATCTAAACAGACAGTACCAAAGTCAAGTACACGAGATCCAAAAGCAAAAAGAGGAAGAACAGTGTTTCTGCCCACTACCAGATTCGAACTAGCGACCTCATCATTACAAGTGATGCGCTCTACCCTGTAACTCAGTTAGAATAGGTGTTGATAACGCTGAAAGATGATGAAAACATACCCTGAGCTAAGCGGGCCTCATATGATTGAGGATGCTGGAAGATCGTTATTTCATTAATTATAAGATGCAAAAATTTGAAGGCTTGGTTTGGACTTGGGAGGTGGTGGGAGTTGTGATTCGTTAATAAAAGTGGGGGGGGGGCAGAGACAAAGGAATGTGGTGGGAGGTAGGTAAGGAATCACCAAAGGTTTTTCCGATTCACTAATTCACACTGATTATTTGAGAATTTATTACTATTGGAAACCTTTCCGTCAACTGCCTGCGCTGCCATTGAAGTCGAGTAACCCATCACAGTCTGGCCAACTGGTTGTTCGGTGATAAAAGACCAACTGCATATTGACCGAAGATACATCTTCAGGAATTCTTCAACATATCTCAACGCTCCTCATCTAAGACCTCAAAATTACGTCTCTGGCTACCTGAAGTAGATTATAAGGTCAAGGATATCTTGTCGCAGATCGACCAGTAGCATGGTAGAATCAAATATGTTCTGCAGTCACTGGGCGGAATTAGGAGAATTGTTGTTGTTAGGAGATGGCGAGGTGGTGGTGCTCATAATTTAGGCAGGCACTGTGATCGACATTTCGGGCAGTCTGATGATTCGAGCTCGCTTCATGCTGCAGCGAGAATAGTAGCAGATAAATAGCAGGTATCTCGCGGTCTTACTTTGTGGGAATGAAGTGATTTTAGGTAGGGATTGATGGTCTTGAAGGGCTGCACCCTGGGGAGAATGCAATGTAAGTTGTCCCCATTAATTGCCCACTTCAATGTACATGATAATCAAGTCCAGAACCGCAGAGTTAGACTAGATAGCCTCATCTTCCGAATATGGAGCTCGTACAAAAACCCCCAAATCAATGTCTGCGTCGTCAAAAGCATAGTCGACAGACAGAGGTGGGTCCCATTCTTCCACGATGAACAGCCGTACAGGCTCGCCACCATATCCACACCTTCTCACAGGACGTAAGTCTGACCTCCATTTATAAATGGATCGTTTTTCGATTTCCTCGTACAGTTTCACTGTCCTAAGTTCTGGGAGACAGCTATCCTTTTGTGAAGCAAGCTCGAGTATCCATTGATAGCTAGACTTGAGGAGGTCTTCTGACTCGAATTGGTTTCTGCCGCTGTTGTCGAGACGGTTCCTGACAACTTGATAGAAGATGCCGATTTCGAAGCAGAAGTGAATCTATAACATTAATCAGCATTGATACGATGGTGAATTCAAGTTGTGAAACTGACGGAAAGGGTTTCTAAGGAGCTTGGAAGTAGCCTGTACAGCCCATCCCGAATGCTTAGGGTTTTGAGTGTACTCCGGAGGGGGCAATTCTCCTCGAGTAGAATTGAAGTCAATTTTGGGCAGCTCCAGGGAGGATAATACAGAGCCGATAACCTTGGCAGCGTTGCTAAAAACGAATAAAGGGGTAATCTCTTTCCGGGCGTAGAGTGCGGATTTGGATTATGGCATTTGAGGCTGAAAGAACACACTTGCTGGGCGTACATGGGATTCTCGGCCAATGTTCTGCAAAAGAGGTCATACCGAGGGGACGGATTGCCAAATGAGATATGGCGTGCAATGTATGGCCAAGAGAGTGTGTAGAATAGTCGACACGATAGTGAGAAACCTAAAATATCCTCTGGGCCACTGTCGCTGAGGAGAGAGATAATGACGAAGAGAATATTATTGTTGAGTTCTTGAAGGATCATTGTTCTGCTCCAGAGCAACAAAGTTCAAGTAGAAAACCAATAATCAAAAGATGGAAACAAGAAAACCGCAGTCCCCGTTAGGAATTCTCACTGATATACCACCATATGCTGCCAAGCTGTAGGTTCCCAATTCAGAGGATGACTCTTCTTCATCCTTTGGGATGGGAATCGGATTGGCGAGCAGTATTTGCGGGCAGGAAGTCAAAGATTGGCTTAGATCATCTGCAAGCCTCTGTATGAAAATAAACAAATGATTCAAAGAGACCCAGATAATCAACTTTCTCCCACGTAATGTTATTGAGGATTATTGATACTCTGGACGGGAATTACTCCACGATTCGGGGCTGAAGCTGAAGCTACCCCGGACTCGGCTGGTATAAATTTAGACTTCGGGATGATCACGCCAAGACAAAGACAAAGACAACACCTCTCCTCTGTACATCCACAACAAGCTCTCAATAGCTTCATTGTTTGAGGAACTCGCCTCAGTACCTTCGTTCTCAGTGTGATGAGCAGGAAACAGACCTGATAGGCTGCACATGTTTCTGCACCTATATTTTGCTGTGACAACTCGCAAGGGAGCCTGAAACTCTTATCGGTGATCATGGCAGGGCACAGCAACGACACAGCAGACCTCATCCCCTTCGAGTCCAGCCGCAAGTCCGAAGACTCCATATCCTCTGCATCGACGACAAGCCTGGTATTTGAGCGAATTGGTCAACGGGTGGAAGCTGAAGACGAGAAGAGGACAATGGTCACTCCTAAATTCCCCCCTCCGAGGAGCGAGTCGAGAGGATACGCAGACAACGAGCATGCGACAAGCTCGCACGACGATGAAGAGAAGGACGATTATGATCTCGAGACTGGACCGTTTCTGAAGAATGCAACTGGAAAAACTGTGGATAAGAAGTTCAGACGGTTACTGTGGATAGTTGGGGGAGTGTTCATCGGCGCATGGGTGCTGGCTCTGGTTGTATTCCTAGGCCGTCAATCATATCGACATGTCTCCTCGAAACCTCACGATCCTGCTGCGACCGCGACAACGGGGACTGGTAAGAAAGTCACCCTGGACCAGGTTATGGGTGGGTCGTGGAGGGCAACAAAACATGGCATCAGCTGGATAGAAGGCGCGAATGGGGAGGACGGACTGTTACTCGAACAAAATGCTGCTGGAAAGGATTACTTGGTCGTCGAGGATATCAGAGGTACTAGTGCGGAGGCAGGCGCCCAAGGCACAAAGACATTGATGAAAAGTGGACGATTCAATGTTGGAGGCCAGTCGCTTTCTCCCAGCAGAGTATTTCCCAGCAAGGACTTGAAGAAGGTTCTCATTGCGACGGACTTCCAATCGAACTGGAGACATTCCTTTTATGCGAAGTACTGGATCTTCGATGTTGAGACACAATCTGCCGAAGCTCTGGACCCCGCGAATCCGGACGGCAGAATACAGTTGGCTAGCTGGAGTCCTCAAAGCGATGCCGTGGTATTCACGAGAGACAACAACCTCTTCCTCCGAAAGCTATCGGATACCAAGGTTGCCCAAATCACTACAGACGGCGGTGCAAATCTATTCTACGGTGTCCCTGATTGGGTATATGAAGAGGAAGTCTTCCAAGGGAATAGTGCGACGTGGTGGGCTGAAGATGGCAAATACGTTGCATTTCTGCGCACCAACGAGTCGGAAGTTCCAGAATATCCAATTCAATACTTTGTTTCTCGGCCCAGTGGAGTTCAACCGGCGCCGGGCGAGGAGAACTATCCGGAGGTTAGAGAGATCAAATACCCTAAAGCGGGTGCTCCAAATCCGACCGTCGATCTTCAGTTCTACGATATTGCCAAGGGCGATGTATTTGAAGTCAAAATCGCGGGATCCTTTGAGCCAGATGATTTGCTCATTACCGAAGTGGTTTGGGCTGGGTCAACTGGGAAAGCACTCATCAGAGAAACAAACCGAGAGAGTGATGTCCTTCGGGTTGTTCTTGTTGATGTCGCCACTCGAACTGGGGAGACGGTACGAACTGAAGATGTTCAGAAGCTCGATGGAGGTTGGTTCGAGGTATCTCAGAAGACCAAATATGTTCCCGCAGACCCAGCGAACGGTCGCCCATTGGATGGCTATATCGATACAGTTATTCACGAAAACTACGACCATATTGGATACTTCACTCCCTTGGATAACCCGACACCAGTCCTGCTCACATCTGGTAACTGGGAGGTTGTCGATGCGCCTTCAGCTGTGGATCTGAAGAAGAACCTGGTCTACTTCGTTGCAACAAAGGAGTCGCCCATCCAACGACACGTTTACAGTGTATTCCTCAACGGGACAGACCTCAAACCACTTACAGACACTTCCAAAGAGGGACATTACGGCGTTTCCTTCTCAAGCGGTGCAGCTTATGCCCTTTTGGATTACGACGGACCGAACATCCCATGGCAGCAGGTCATCAGCACACCTAGCAATTCTGATCATTATACACAGGTCATTGAAGAGAATCAAGGACTTGCAGAAATGGCCAAGAAATACGAGTTGCCCCACAAGATCTTCTCAACAGTGACCATTGATGGATATGAGCTTCAAGTTGTCGAAAGGAGGCCACCCCACTTCAATGAGAAGAAGAAGTATCCTGTACTCTTTTACCTCTATGGTGGACCTGGCTCCCAGACTGTTACCAAAACTTTCAGCGTTGACTTTCAGGCCTACGTTGCCGCAAACCTTGGTTACATTGTTGTCACGGTCGATGGACGTGGTACCGGATTCATTGGACGAAAGGCTCGAACAATCATTCGTGGCAACCTTGGATATTACGAAGCCCGTGATCAAATCGAAACAGCCAAAATATGGGCAAAGAAGAAGTACGTCGATGCATCCCGATTGGCTATTTGGGGTTGGTCGTACGGTGGATTTATGACTTTGAAGACTCTCGAGCAAGACGCTGGGCAGACGTTCTCGTATGGAATGGCCGTTGCACCTGTCACGGATTGGAGGTTCTATGACTCAATTTACACCGAAAGATACATGCACACGCCTCAACACAATCCTGATGGATATGACAACTCGACAATCAGTAACATGACCGCACTGCATCAGAATGTCAGGTTCTTGGTCATGCACGGAATTGCAGATGACAATGTCCACATGCAGAATACCCTTACCCTTTTGGACAGACTAGATCTTGCCGGTGTCGAGAACTACGATGTCCATGTCTTCCCCGACAGTGATCATGGAATATACTTCCACAATGCCAACAGGATTGTTTATGATAG